GACCTCAGTTCCTTGCTGGCTGTTGGCTGGAGGCTCCCCTCCCATGGAGGTTTCTCCATAGGTTAGCTCACAAATGGTATCTGGCCAAGTGAGCAAGTGAAAGAGCAAGAGAGGGTAGGCAAGATGGAAGCCAGAGTCTTTGTGTAGCATAGTCTCAGAAGTGATTACATCACTTTTGATTAGTCAGAACAGAGATCAGCAAATGTGGTCAGCAGGCCATAATTGCCTGCCACTCATTTTTGTAAATAAAGTTTTATTGGAACACAGCTAATATAACTACACCAGCATAGTTGAGTGATTGGAAGAGAGACCATATGGCCCACAAAGCCAAAAATATATGCTACCTGGCCCTTTACAGAAAACTTTGGCTCTCCTGCATTAGAAGCAGGTCCGACCCACAAGGGAAGGACTCACAAGGGCATGGACACCAGGAAGTTGGCATCATTGGGAGTCATTTTACTTTATTTTATACTAGAGGCCTGGTGCACAAAATTCATGCCCTCGGGGGATGTCCGAATGATGCCTTAGGCCGGCTCCCCACGGCAGTTGGACATTCTTAGTGCTGCTGTGGAGGCGGGAGAGACTCCCGCCATGGCTGCTGCCCTCCCCAGCCGTGAGCCTGGCTCAGGGGTTCTAACTGAGCATTGAGTGTCTGCCCTCTGGTGGTCAGTATGCATCATAGCGACTGGTCATTCCACCGTTTGGTCGATTTGCATATTAGCCTTTTATTATATAGGATTAATGTTTTTATTGATTTTAGAGAGGAAGGGAGAGGGATAGTTAGAAACATAATGATGAGAGAGAATCATTGATCGGCTGCCTCCTGCACGTCCCATACTGAGGATCAAGCCCGCAACCCAGGCATGTGCCCTTGACTGGAATCAAACCCAGGACCCTTCAGTCCACAGGCTAATGCTCTATCCACTGAGCCAAACCAGCTAAGGCCACTGGGAGTCATTTAGAAGCTGCCTCCCACATAACACCTGCCCATGAGTAGGCATTTGATGAGTATCTGATGAGTAATCGAATAATTATTCACATTTTATCAATTTTCCAAATTCCAGGACTGAAAAGCAAGTTACTAGCTAAGAAAAATTCCTTCACTGGTTATTAGGATTCGACAACTATGTTGCCACGGTGGCAATTTATCAACTTATGTGATCTTCTTATTAGTAAAATTTTCATCATTATGTTAAATGAGTTATATGGTAAAATCAGGTTAGAATTGAAGTATTAGGTAGGTCTGACAGATTACTCTTTCATGACATTAGTGAATTGGAAGAAAGAGAAGTATTTGAGGGTACTTGAGATGAGAATTCACTCTGGGGCAAGAACACTGACTGAATTATGCTTACTATATGGTAGTAGTCAATATCTTCTAATACCTTTAGAAATATGTACCTGGCATTTCTTCCTTAAGAAACTTTTAGATTCTATGCATTGGGGAAAAATCTATTAGCAAGTCTTCCTCCTGAAGCATGAAGAAGAAATAAACTACTAGGGGTGGAGAAAAAAAAATTAATCCCTTAAATATGCTCACCAAGAAGTAATCTGGTTCTAAAGATCGCAGGGGGGAAAAACAGAGTAAAAGAAAAGTGCATGTGATTAGTAAAAAACAGAAATTAAAGACTATTCCAGTTAAATAAAATGTCCTATTCAAGGCATGGCTTATTTTGAGCATAAACCAGTATATCATTTTTATTAAATGCACACACGTAATGAAAGCAATAGCACGTTTTGAGGAAATTTGTGTTTTTGGGTAGCACAGGAGGAGATAGGAAATGTCACGCCTGTAAGGCCAAACTGGACATAATCAAATGCTGATTTGCTCAATTTAAAGCTGTAAAATTAAAGCTATAACGAGAAGCAACTGTCCTATCTAAATTCATTCAGGAAGAGTAACCAGTTATGTTGCTCTAAAACTTTCAAATTTCTAACCCTACTTGCTCTCACTGAAATAGTTTTTAGAGTGTGAATTTTGAGGTTCCTGAGGTGCACCAATGTCGGGAAGGGCCTGAAAACAAGGTGGGTGGTGCTAACTCTAATACAGGTGAGGTCTGGAGATTCTGTTCTGATGCTTATGGCGAGATTTGTTAATAAGCACAGGGTAAGTGCTTTAAAAAGATAAATATTCCTACCACGGTTTAATTATGTGTCCTATTCCTCAAATCTTAGCATATGAACTCAGAGCTATACAATTATACCCACGCACCGTATTCGCTGTGGATTCTATTCTCCTT